ATGAAATTATTGTCATCGCAAATGTCAAGTGGATGAGAAAAAGGAGATGACGGGGTTGGTGTGCATTGGCTTTTACAGATGATTGTGGAAAGAGCTTCTGTATGGCTATCAGTAATTTTCCAGTTTGTGATTGATTTTTTTATTTCTTCTTTAGTTGTTGGTTATAATAGATGAGTCGTATTCAACGGGTCTAAAAGTCTAATGACCAATCGTAAAATGAGCGACACCCACATACCCATCAATGATATCTACTGTTGAATTCCAGAATCAAAAAAGAGAAGAAAAATAAAGAAAAAGAAAAAGATTTGGGGGTGGAGGGTAATTGATACCGTTGAATTCCGAAATCAAGAGTAATTAATTTTTTAATGGTCTGATTCGTATTCTTTTTTAAATGTCAAGAAGTCATCATCTCATTTTTTTTAACAGAACTAGAGAAAATTGTATTAATTAAAAGAACAAAGATCAGATTTGTTGGCTATTTCAGATGATCTTGACATGAATAAATGAGAAATTAGATGGAACAAAGGTTAATTTGGATGTCTCCAGTGGTTGCCTTGAGATCCGTTGATTCTAATCCTCTCTTAGCCATTCTTAGCCTCATTTCATATTTTGGCCATACACTGCACTTACGCATCAATATCACCTCAAATTCAATGCACAACCCCGAGTCATTTGTCCAAGAGAGAAGCCCCAAAAATGGTCCATTTTTCAAACCTCACCCCCCCCCCCTCCCCCCCAACGCGGGCGACTAGAGCTAATAATGATTCGTGAATGTCAAACTCAATCGTAATTGTTTACCGTGAGGTTCTTAGTTGCGTTCAAATAGGTTCATTAATTTCATATCAAGTTAACCAATATCTCAACATGCATCCCCTCTCTCTTGTGACACAATTTCTAAGTCTCACAAAGTCTCTCTCTCTCTGACACACGTATTGACTGTTGCTGATCTGATTAGAAAAATCAACCATGCATACTTTTATGAGTCAACAGAAACAAAATTTGGGTAGATGCAACCCAGGAGCGTTTGTTACAATTGTACTGGTCCCATGTTTGATCAAGTCAATAACATATGTTGAGTGAGGATTATGTAATAAAAACTAATTTTATTGCTTTGTTGGTGGGTTGAAAATGTTAGATTTGGGTTTAGGATGAGGATAAGGCTTTGGTATCGTATCGAAATTTAATTTTTTAATATCATACGAAAAATAGGTTCTAGTTGAATATCATGCTTAGTTTTAATTGTGACTATTGATTACAAAAATAATAAAATAATAGAAATAGTTTTATACATGTCACGTGTTTATTGGAGTAAAAAATAAAGGAACAATATCAAAAACTAATTTTTTTTGGTATTATAGTTGAACCCTTGGATGGAACGGGCGGAGGGGGGGGGGGGTTTGTGTTAGGGTTCAGGTTGGTGGTGACCATGGTTTAAAGTTTCGTTTTGAAAACATGTTTTGATTAGTAAAAAAAACAAAAATGTTTTGAAAATATTTTAGAAATACAAGAAAACGTTGTATTTTCATAAAAAAGAAATGAAAACCTTTAAAATAAATTGTAGTTATATTAGTAAGTTTTTTGTTTTATTTTTTAACAACCAAATAAACCTAAAAGTAATCAAAAATCTAATAGACAGTAAATTATTGTGGTTGGACCCATTAATTGTTGATGTAAATTCACACATAACGATCCGAAAATACTATATTGCACATGAACATGATGGTGACCAGGGAGTGGTTGGAGGGAAGGGGATACAGATGATAGGGTGATCAGGGTGGCGGTTTACGAAAGCACCCCCACATATATAGACTTCTATATGAATTCTTAGACACGATTTCTTTAAAACTAATTTTTAATAGTGAATTCTATCAATGAGTTCATATCATAAGTATGGTATCAAGTTCAGTAGAGCTGCCTCATCACAGAGAAAGCGACATATAGACCGGCTTATATCGATACAAACCTGTGAGGCTGTGCTTATATATACATACACCAGCATAACCTATGTCAGAATATGTCAGAAGATTCGGTGCAACGTAAATCAACCGATTAATTTAAAAAAGTGATGAATAAAGATTCCTGAGAGCAGTGACGGAGTCAAAAATATAATATAGAGAGAACACACTTTAAGTATAATAAATAAAACTAATGTGATATATTTATATTTTTATATCGGATTTGATACTTAAAAATTTATCAAACATAAAAGGGGTCTGTTTAAAAAAAAATTAATAAGATAAAATTTATATATCAATGATCAATTATATAATTTGTTTGACACAAAATAGAAATTATATTCTCTAATTTTAAATTTTCTTACAAATTCCATATTTTACTCATTTTTTGCTATATATTCCATAATTTTTGAACCAAATGAGGTTTCAACAAATCATACTAATACTCTAAGGAATTAATTTTAGTTTGTTAAATTTAAGAGATTTGGTATGAAATTTTTGTTTTTTTGATCTAATACACAACTTGTTTGACCTAATTAATTTTGTTTTCATAAATCATTACAATGGGCCCAATTAATCCAAAAAAATATATAACTAAAAAATATTTTTTTTAGGGTGGCCCCCAGCCCCTCCTCACTCTGCCACTGCCTCAGATAGAGAGTAAAGAAGAAGGTAAAATTCAATCTAAATGATTTTGAGAGAGATGTTGGTAGTCATTAGATGAGTTTATCTGATACCGTCGGATGAATTTGTTGCATCTGCCTTATTTTATATTATAGATATTATATATAAATTTACGAAATATGATAGAATTGACTTAAAAAAATATTAATTTATATATACATGTAATCAAAAATCGAATATTAATTTATATACCTGTAATCAAAATCAAGTCAAATCTATTAAAAACTAAAAATCTAATTTATCAAAAAGTATATCGTCAAAATATTTTTTATCAAAAAAAAAAAAAAAGCTACAAATATCATTTATAGAATATTATTTTTTTAATTATTACAAGTTATTAAAAAATTATTAATTTATAATAATATATTAGTGTTGAATTTTCTTAAGAGATAAAAAAAATTAGTCTTGAACTTTTGATTCAAGATATGCGTAAGACATGTTATTTGAAATAATTAATTAAATAAATAAAATTAAAATTAAAATTAATTATATTTAATATAAATGTGTTAAACAACACCTTTATTTTTTTTATCTGTTAAATTGATGAGATTTTTTTAATCAAAATGTTATAATTGTGTCTTATAAAAATTCAAAATGTTATAATACACAAATGATATTAATGGGATATTTGATCCATTTAATTATTATGTCAGAAAAAATTATGTGTTCCAAGATCAATTGTAATCGTTGACCGAAAGAAAATATTAAGGAAAAAAAATGATAATTTCTTGATCGTTGAGTGAATGAATTTGAGACCGTAAGATGTGTTCAAAGATTAACTGTAATCGTCGACCGGTTGAGAGGAAATATTAAGGTAAAAATAGTAATTTCTTGATCATCAGATAAATGAATTTGAGACCGTAAGATGAATTTGTTATATATATATATATACATATAAAACAGGGTGAACAGTGGTAGTGATGGTGGGGCGATAGAAGTTATGATGAGAGACGATGATAGTTGTGATGATGATGATAATAAGTTATAATGGTGACAGCTATAGGTGACAATGGTGATGGCAATTGGAATGATGATGAGATAGTGGGAGTGGTGGTAAGGTGGCGGCAACGGTGGTGGTGGGGCATTAATGTGGTGGTGGGGCGGTGGTAGTGGTTGTTGTGGAAGAGGTGATGGTGGTGTGGTAGTAGTAATGGTAATGATGGTGATAATGGAGCAATGAGTGTGATAAGGTGGCGACAATGATGGTGGGTGGCAGTGGTGATGGTGGTGGGGTAGGTGGTGGTAGAGGTATTGGTGGGACAGTTTTCAAACACAATTTTTGAAATTTAAAGAGATTTTAACTACAAATAGTAAAAATTATTTTGTTTATCTTTTAAAATTTGAATTGTATTGTACTTTATTATATATATATATATATATAATCTCATATAATCCTTCAATGGATTTTAGAAACACATAATGAGCTCTCCTAATTAATGAAAAGAGATAGTCCTCATTGCCCGTGCACGATCTTGTCGTCCATGCCTTCTTCCTCGGGATATATTCGCCTCTATAAACTTACTTTTTCTATTCAAATGTGCAATTATCAGTAGAATTTCCAAGATCATAAACATAACTTTCTATTCAAAATGTAACTTAGGATTAGAGTTGTTAACGGGTCATACATCGTGTTGTATTTATAAAATAATGCAAATCGTGTATGTGACACATTACTCAATTTTTACCAATGAATCTGAATCTGAATCTGAATCCAAATTCATTATATAAAATATTACTAATTCAATATTGATATATAAATATTCAATTCAATTGTATTATGGATTGAATTGTTTTTATTTACATAACTAAATGATGAATTTGAGTGTTTATTCAATGAAATTTTGATATGATTTATTAAAATTCAGTTTCATTTAGTTGTTGAATTAAAAATATGATTTTTAATAAAGGCATATATATAGGACATAAGATTTAAATTTAATTTATTTTTTGGGTCTGAAAATAAAATATCTATTGAATATGCATGTTAAAGTATTAAATCAAAATCGAATTTAAATTCCGGAAGATAAATCGAATTTAAATTCAAATTAGTTGTAATTGAACCCAAATAGGATCCGTTGGAAATAGTGATGGATTTGAAATTTGAACACAACTGGCAAGACCCGAGAAATAACAGCAAGTATCGATTTTAAGGAAGTATTCATTGAACGACGTAAGATTAGGGACGTGGGGGTGGTGGCCGTAATGTTTCTGAAGAATTGACACCCCACCAAATATATTTATGTATTTTTGCCACTATATATATATATATATATATATATCTGTTATTAACCAAACACACCACATTCTCTCTCTCTCTCTCTCTCTCTCTCTCTCTCTCTCTCTCTCCCCTTTTTTGCCTTACTTTGTTAGGGTTCTTTGATGATCTTGGACCTTTGCTTTCTCTAATGCATTTGGTAGTTGAAGAGCTATACTTATATTTGATCTGGGCTGTACTGTTTTTGGTGATTGGTCTGATTTGTTTTGCTCTCTTTTGGGGGATTTTTTGTGAGAAACAACAACCATGCCTACTCTTGTCAATTATAGTGGTAAGTTTGAGTTTATGAATATTGTTTTTCTTTATGGGTTTTGAAGTTCTGATGGTTTTGGTATCTGGGTTGAGCTTGGTCTGGGGATCTGTGGCTTGAGAGGGCTTGTTTGATTGAGTGTACATGTTTCTTTATTGGTTTGATTTCTTGTGGTTGTGTTGCCATGATTAATAGAGATATACAAAGCTGTAGATTGATCAAGAAAAAACAAGACAGCATCTCGTTTGCTTTGGATTTGGCTAGTTGGCAATTTTGATATGAAAATTATGTTTCTTGTGTTAAGGCTTTTATGATATGAACTTTATTATCTGATTATTTCTTGATAATATGGATTCTATTAGTGTTTGAAACCAAGTCATTCTATTACGTCTAGCAATTCTTATGCTTCTACTGGCATTTTTTGTAGTACAATGGAAATAAAAATGTTGGCCTGTAAGGTTTCAATATATATCTTGTTGGAAATCCAATTTGCTTTACTAGAATATTTGGCCTAGGACGCTCTTGGCTGCCATGACCTAACTTTGTTTGTTGGAAAGGTTAATATGATCATATTTTGGTGCATTAAACATAAGTGCTACAGGTTGCTTCATTTAGATTCATTTTTGCATTATCCTTTGTTTAGAGGAAGGGGGATGAGTTCTTAAACAAAATAACTACAAATTTTTTTAGAATCTCTGTGTTTGCTGGTTGGGATTCACCTATGGTATGAGATTGTGCTGATGATTTCCTAAGTAGGAGATTTTAGTTTTAACTTAAAAAATTTCTATAGACGTTCCCATTGAAAAATTTCTATAGATGTATTGAGCTGATGTGAGTGATTGTTATTGCATCTTCAGGGGATGATGAATTCTATACTGGTGGGTCAGCTTGTTCCGCAGATTCAAGCCTCTTGTTATGTATTGGTTCTCATACAAATGTTTACTGCCCTCCTCGGAAGCGGTCACGCATCAGCGGCCCGTTTGTTTTTGGAGGGCACATGTTTGAGGAGGAGAAGAAATCATCCATTGAAACACTTCCCAATGAATGTCTATATGAGATCTTCAGACGCCTGCCCGGAGGCCGAGCGAGGAGTGCCTCTGCTTGTGTGTCCAAGCGTTGGCTTATGCTCCTAAGTAGTGTTCGGAATTTTGAAATTTGCAGGAGCAAAAGCACTCATGAAGGATCAGATGCAGAAACAATTGATGAGTCTTTCAATGATATTAAATTTGTTTCAGCTGAAGAAGATCTGGAATTTGAGTGTGATGGGCACCTTTCTAGGTCACTGGAAGGGAAGAAAGCGACGGATATTAGACTTGCGGCTATTGCAGTTGGAACTGCCAGCCGTGGGGGACTTGGCAAGCTTTTGGTTCGGGGAAGCAACTCCATCCGAGGAGTTACCAATCTTGGTCTGTCAGCAATTGCTGATGGTTGCCCTTCTCTCAGGACTCTTTCGTTGTGGAATGTCCCTTCAATTGGGGACGAAGGTTTGTGTAACATAGCAAGGGAATGCCACTTGTTAGAGAAGCTCGACCTCTGCCAGTGTCCTCTGATTTCCAGCAAGGGGGTGATCGCAATTGCTGAGAACTGCCCTAATTTGACTGCTATAACGATTGAATCTTGTTCAAATATTGGGAATGGGAGCCTGCAAGCTGTGGGACGGTGCTGCCAAAAGCTACATTCCATTACTATCAAGGACTGCCCTCTTGTTGGGGATCAAGGAGTTGCAGGTCTCTTGTCATTGACGACTTCTGTCTTGACAAAGGTTAAACTTCAGGATTTGAACATTACAGATTTCTCTCTTGCGGTAATTGGGCGCTATGGCAAGGCCATTACCAATCTTGTGCTCAGTAAGCTTCAAAAGGTGAGCCAGAAGGGCTTTTGGGTCATGGGTAATGCTCAGGGTCTGCAGAAACTTGTGTCCTTGACAATCACTTCATGTCGGGGGACAACAGATGTGAGTCTTGAAGCCATGGGAAAGGGTTGTCCAAACCTGAAACAGATGTCACTTCGGAAATGTTGTTTTGTATCGGACAAGGGGCTCATAGCTTTTGCCAGATCTGCTGGATCTCTTGAGAGCCTTCAATTGGAAGAATGCAACAGGATCACCCAATCAGGTATCTTGGGTGCGCTCTCAAACTGTAATTCGAAGCTAAAGTCACTTGCCCTAGTCAAATGCATGGGAATTAGGGATCTACCTTTGGAAGCAACTATGCTATCCCCTTGCAAATCTCTTCGATTCTTGTCCATCCGGAGCTGCCCTGGTTTTGGTAGTGCAAGCTTGGCTATGGTCGGGAAGTTGTGTCCTCAGCTACACCATCTAGACCTGAGTGGGCTCATCGGAATAAGTGATGCGGGGCTTCTCCCACTTTTGGAGAGCTGTGAGGCAGGTCTTGTTAAGGTGAATATTAGTAACTGCTTAAATTTGACAGACGAAGTGGTTTTGGCCTTGGCCAGGTTGCATGGTGGAACGCTTGAATTGCTGAATCTTGATGGTTGCAGGAAGATTACTGATGCAAGCTTGGTGGCAATTGCAGACAACTGCCCATTGCTGAATGACTTTGATGTGTCAAACTGTTTAATCACTGATGCAGGGGTTGCTGCTTTGTCCCGTGGTGTGCAGCTAAATTTGCAGATCCTTTCCCTGTCTGGTTGTTCTAAGATATCTAGTAAGAGTATGCCTTCCTTTACAAAATTGGGAAAGACCTTGTTGGGCCTAAATCTCCAACACTGCAACTTAATCTGCAGCAGCACAGTCGAGCAGCTTCTAGAGACCTTGTGGAGATGTGACATCCTCTCCTGAATCAGGGTTGCAAACAAACACCTTTATACTCGATCAAACGTCAGATGGAAGAACTTAAAAAGTTGATCGAAAGTAGAAGCATAACACTCATAAAGTCGGTTCACATTGGTAACAGAATACTTGGTTTTAGTTTTTAGCCTATCATCAGCGCAGACCTTCCCGGTATCGCAGAGGCTTGGTTGTTTTCCAGGGGACTTTGGCCGACCATTTTTCCATCCCTTTTTTTTTGCAGGCATGAAAAAAGCCCGTTGAAACTCTTTTAGTCTCTCATTGATGCGAGGCTGCTCTTTCATTGCCATAGTTCCCTGAGAATACATATACCCAGTCCTGGTTTCGGGTGTCCGCCTGGGTACTCCATTTTGGGTCGTGTTTGATCCAAGGTTTCGAATTACTAGCTTGGTCACTTGTTGCCTTCATGGTGTGCCTTAATAAGCTCTCTCCATTTTCAGTCCTCACAAAGCCTTTTTGGGTTGGGTCAGTACATGTCAATCTGTAGTGTCTGTTTTTAAGAGTCCACAACATGTTTAATCACTAGTTTTTGGGGTGGCTCCTTGTACAATTTCTTCTTTGGGGTCAAGGTGTGTAGTTGCATTGGGGAGGTTCGGATGTGTGGATGATGGTGATTCTTGGGCTCGGCCATGGCAACTTGTTCATTTTGGCTGCCATGACAACCTTACCTGGTTGTTTTTTCCTTATCCGAGTCCTAGTTTTTGGTAGGACTACCAAGTCCTATTTTTGCCAGTCTCTGCTGCTTCTAAATTGTACTATGCAACTGCTTTGTTTCCAGTAATAAAAGGCCTCAGGTTTTATATATTGTCAGTACCATTCTTTTGTTCCAGTGCCTTTGCTGTGTATGTATCTGGTTGGTTTTTCTAATCTGCGCCGTCTTTCTGATGTTTGAGCTGATTCAATCTGTCGTGGATTCGAGTCCGGAAATGAATGATTAATACAGATAAGGTTGTCTATTCCTTGTTTATTCCAAAACCTGATGTACATAAAAATTTTGTGCATTGGTCGTCTTTTTCACTTGGTAATTGGTGAATGCTTTAATCGATTGCGTAAAGGAGGGGGAACTTTTGAGTTCTTCAAAGTGGATTTTCAGCACCTGCAATTTCCGTTTGTACGAAAATTCTGTAATATAAATTAGGAGCGGTAATTTCTGACACATCACGAAAATACGATACAGAAGTAGTGAGTTAGAGTTGGTTGTTTTTCAATACAAATCTGTATATGACACGATCAATTACACAAATAATAAATAAATTGCGTTAGTGTCAAATAAAAATAACAAATTATACGATAACACTTATCAAATGGTAACCTAAATCTTGTACAAAAAAAAACTACTCTTTTTTATTATTACATTTATTAAGTTAATTTTTAGTTTATAAAAAAAGTGTGAAAATAGGTTTGACTATGTGATAATAAAATTTTAGACATAAAATTGAGCGTTAAATTTTTTATTCAAGGGTCAACACAAACACGACACGATTAATTAAACAGATTGAATTAGAGTTGATTAGTGTTCGACACGAATCTAAAATGACATGACTTGACACAATACAATTAGACCTCCTAAACTGTAGTTGTAGAAAGCAAAAATGGAGAGAATGAGCTCGAAATTTTGGAACTAAGAGCAATTCCAAGGGGAGTTGCCAAAAATGGGGTGTCAAATGCTATTTTACAACCTTGAACAGTGTTTTGGCACCCCTGAACAGTGTTTCTGCTTTAATGGTAGGTGTCAAAATGGAGTGTCATTTTAATATTTTAATATTTTTTATTAAAAAATATAATTAAACTTAACGGTTATATTTTAACGGGTATAATTTTCATAACGATCGCAATTTAACAGATATATTTTTATAGTAAAAATTTTAAATTTCAAATTTCAAATTTCAAATTTTGGCGGACAAAATTTCAAATTTTAAATTTTGTCCGTCGAAATTCAAATTTTCAAATTTCAACCGTTGAAATTCAAATTTGAAAATTTAAACGCCAAAATAAAAATTAAAAAAAGTATGAATTCGTCTATAAATAGATCATTTTTCTCATGTTTTCATCCATCTATCTTACATTCTCTCTATAAATTCAATATCTCATTTCTCTTTGACTATTTATCTTTTCATATTTTCATTCATCAAGTTACATGAATCATTATCCTAATATTTTAGGAGAGATCCTTAATATTGAAAAAAAGATAATGATGACTTTGATATATTGTATGCTGCAACTAGAAGGTCAGAAGGGTCTAGTCAGGGACGGATAAGAAGGCATTGCGGTTCCGTTCCAGGCCACAGAATAGTTAATCGTGGTAGAGTTGAAGGTCACGAAAGACTTTATCGTGACTATTTTGCTACCCCTTATGTATATGAAGGTTTTTTTCGAAGGAGGTTCTGAATGAGTCATCCTCTTTTTCTCCGAATTGTAAATGAAGTTGAACAACACGATCCATACTTCATCCAAACAGCAAATGTCGTTGGAGTTCTCGGTTTGTCATCCCTTCAAAAGATAACAGCTGCTTATAGAATTCTTGCTTATGGAACACCGACAGATTCTGTGGATAAATACATCAAAATTGGAGAAAGCACTGTCATACAAAGTCTAAGAAGGTTTGTGAAAGCTGTTATTGCAGTGTTTGGCGACCATTACCTGAAGTCACCAAACAATATCGATATTGCTCGATTGCTACAGACGGGGGAACAACGTGACTTTCCCGGCACGATAGGGAGTATTGATTGCATGCATTGGAAGTGAAAAAATTGTCCTACCGCGTGGCAAGGTATATATACCGGTCATTGTCATGAACCAACAATCATTTTAGAAGTTATGGCTTCTCAAGATCTGTGGATATGACATGGATTCTTTGGGCTTCCTGGTTCGCTGAATGACATAAATGTTCTAGATAGGTCCCTGTTTTTGCATTATTAGCAAATGGTCATGCTCCTTTAGTCAACTATATAATTAATGGCAATGAGTATACAATGGGATATTATCTAGCTGATGGTATTTATCCAAACTGGTCGACATTTATAAAAATAATTCCCTGTCCACAAGGTTTGAAGAAAAAATATTTTGCTAAAGCACAAGAGTCGACAAGAAAAGATGTAGAGCGGACATTTGGGGTACTTCAAGCCTGTTTTGCAATTGTGCGTGGACCAGCACGCTTTTGGGATGAAAAAACACTTGTAGATATTATGAAAGCATGCATAATAATGCATAATATGGTCATTGAAGATGAAGGAGATATTGGTAACAATGACTTTGATGGAAGTGATGCAAATCTGTCTGTAGAAGTGTCGCATGCATATACAACAGAATTGGAAGACTTCATGCAAATTCATTGTCAGATCAGGGACAGTGTTACTCATTCTCAATTGCAGTCAGATCTTATCAAGCATTTGTGAGAACGACATGGTGACTAATAATTTTCTAAATTTCAATGACCATATTATGTTGTATTTTCAATTTCTAATTTCAATTTCAAGTTGTACTTTCAATTCTAATTTCAATTTCAAGTTGTACTTTCAATTCATAGTTTTTCAATTTCAAGTTGTATAAATAATGACATAAATTTCAAAAATAATAGCAACATAATAAATAACAACTAAAAATTAAAGCCCTGCTTTTTTATTATATCCATCTTCAGATTATTTCAATATGCTGCAGAAATTGGGTCCATGTCAATAGTGTTAGTTTCCATGATTTTTATTTCATTCTGCATTTTATTCTGCCTTTCAATTTCTTGTACCTGTCTTTCTTCAATTTCTAACTGTCTACGATGTTGCTCCAATGTTATCTCTTGTTGAGCATAAATTTTGTCATGTCGCTCAACTTTTTGTTGTTCCATTTCCATTCTTTCAGTCCAATGGTGATGATCTAGTGATGCTTCAACACCGGTGTGCTTTTCTTTATTTTTAAGTTGTTTCTTCGAAGCCTTTCTGCCCAATGGCCTATTGAGGTTGGGAGTGGACAAGGGTTCAGTGTCTTCCCCTAAATATGGAGTTGAATAGCAAGATTCTTCATGAGTTGATTTAGTAGGACTACCAGTCTCATGAATTTTTGCACTCTTATTGCTGGTAAGATTAGCAGTCCATTTCCGCTCCATTTTCAATATATTCCAACAATGCTCGTATTGAAATTGTTTTCCAATAATCTTAGCAAACATTTCTTTTGCGTCATCAACCTGAAAAATATATGAAATTATTCAGTCAATAGTTCAAATATCAAATCATAGTAGTGTCTAAATTAAAAGTTTAATCATTACATTATTTTGCTCGGTGTGTCCACTTTGTCGTAGTCTTTCAATTTGACTATAAAAACCAACAAATTTGTCGCATTTTGCATTTATATCAGTCCAACGACTTTTAATAGAAGATTGCGAACGCTCTTCTTGATTGCCTCTATGAAGTTCTAAGTATTGCAATATTATTTGCTAGAAAGTACCACCTTGTTGTTCATTCCCAGTAATTGCATCTTTACTCGTGTTAAGCCACACAGACACAATTAATTTATCTTCTTATGCAGAGAAGTTTTTTGTCCTTTGCGATTTTTTCACTCTTGGAACGATTTCATTTTGTACAAGTGCCAATACTGTGAGATTGGTCTGCATAGCATCATCATATAAATCGGTGTCGTTCATAAGCAAATCAGTGAAAGAATCGACAAATTGCGAATTCATCTACAAAAAAAAATATAATCAATTTAAAGAATGGGCATAAAAAATAAAAAATTTAAAAATTAAAACAAGAACTTATAAATTAAAACAAGAACATGGGGTCAAATGTAATTATAAATTAAAAATTAAAACTAGAACTTATAAATTAAAGCAAGTGCGGGCAAATGTAATATATAAATTATAAATTAAAACTAGAACTTATAAATTAAAACAAGAACATGCGGGCAAATGTAATTATAATTATAAATTATAAATTAAAACTAGAACTTATAAATTAAAACAAGAACATGGAGGCAAATGTAATAATAAATTGTAAATTAAAACTAGAATTTATAAATTAAAACAAGAATAGGGGGTAGATGTAATTATAAATTACAACTCCTCCCCTTTCCCCAAAATAAAATGGTTCCTACCCCTTTCTCCTTCAGTTGTCTTCTTCCCCTTCCCCTTACCAGACCAGACCAGACCAGACCCCTTCCCCTAAATAAAATGGTTCCTACCCCTTTCTCCTTCAGTTGTCTTCTTCCCCTTCCCCTTACCAGACCAGACCAGACCCCTTCCCCTTCCCCTTCCCCCCCTTCCCCTTACCAGACCAGACAACGGCAATGGGCTATGAGAGCACACCAACGGCAAGGGTCAGGGAAGCTAGGGTTTTTGATATCAAAGGTAAGGATTCAGGGAGCTATTTTCTGGAAGCAATCGATTTCAGGCAATTTTTACCTTCCCTTTTCCTCTCTCTGTATTTTTATACAAATTTTGGGTGGAATATAGCCATTGAGGAACAGTAGCCACCAACGCCTATTTTGCAACCTCTCTATTCTCTCTCCAAAGTTGCCAAATATGTCACCCCAAAACCCTAGATGTCATTTTGCCACCTCCGTTGGAGTCCCAATTTTTACAGTTGGGATGCCATTATAGCGGTTATGGGGATGGCACCCCTGATGGCAACTCCCGTTAGAGTTGCTCTAACTATCCCAAGGCCTCTCTTGGAAGCTACTGACCCATTGATTGTCACAAGAGACATATATCATAAATAGAAAATAGCTCGCTCGATTTGTTTCCCTTAAGTCGAAGGGTGTTGAGAAAACTTTGGCCTAATTTTTTTAGAAAGTATGTCTAAAATGCAAGTCCTCTATTTTCCTTACAAGTAAAGAGGAAGAGGACGATGGTGGGTGTAAGAGAATAAAACCAACCTCAATTGGGGACTTTCATATGACGTTATCTCCGAGCAATTCTCACGAGGCCCAGTATAT